TCATTTCATACGGTCCTTGCTTGATGATGGTCAGTTGATACTTGAGAAGATCTGTGGAACTAAGAACTCGACAGACATGCTGACTAAGGGTGTCACTATTGAGAAGTTGAAGCTGTGTGCAGCTTCAGTTGGTCTTCTAGCTTGAGGACATGAAGATAAGTTGCAGGGATGAGGGACTATTCTTGGGAGGATTTGTAATTGATGTTGGTGAACTAGTCTCAAGTGGGAGATTTGTTGGTTTTTTGTGAAGTCTAATTTTTTATATTGATTCGGATGATGACCTGACCCGAAAAATGTTACGTGATTTTTAATGAAAAATTTTCTGAAACTTAGTCTATGGAGCGAAGGCTTGGGCCGATAGGCCCAAGTCGTAGTGCTCATGGAGAATTTTTTTTTTTGGTCTGTTTGTTTATAGTCCGGTGCAAGCCATATAAAACCTGTTTCTTTTGGGTGATTAGGATTGATTGATTATGTACGGTCGCCGCCCTCTCTGTAATCGTTCTTGAGAATAGTGAAACCCTTGCAGTTTCGTGGACGTAGGCAAATTGTCGAACCACGTAAATATCGTCTTGTGCGTGTGATTATTTTTCTTTGGCGTGTGTTTTCACAGGTTTGAGAATTTTATGTGAATTTCCTAACAGGTTGTTCCTAAATAAATAAAGTTTCCTTTATCACTTGTTGTGCGCTTAAATATTAATTGCATCTTTGCTTTTACTAATAGTCTAAATGACTTTTCAGGAAAAATCATAAAGACGTGAGGAGTCTACTGTCGAGTCTAGAGGGTCGATTGAGATGTCATCATGGGGTTCATTTTTATATGTCCTTTAAATTTAAATTGTATTATTATATGTCATATTCTTGAAATCAATATTACGGTCTGTAAATAAGTAGGGCTCATGGCAAGCCGTACCACTAAGGGGTTTGATGAATTTTTTTATATGCTTTTTTTTATATAAAGAAAGGTGTATGAAAAAAAAACAGGGATTACAAATATTGTACCCCAGATTGGGGTGTTACATTTTAACCTAAAACATCTAAACAAGTGTTGAATATTGAACCGAGCGATTCAGGCTTGGTTCAGATAGGACTGAACTCAAGCTCGACTTTTAAACGAACAGAGTTTGAATGATTTTTTAGACTCATTGAAAAAATGAGCTTAAAAGGCTCGGTTCGACCTCCTAAAATTCGGCTCATTTATATGTAAAATAGTTTAGTTATTCGGGCTCGCCTCGAGTTCGGTTTGTTTTTGGCTATGCTCAGTCTTGACTTATTTTCTAAATGAGTCGAACTTGAATAATTTTGTAAACTAATTTAAAAAAACGAGTTCACAAAATTCGATTTGATTATTATCCGCGATATTCTAAACTCTTTGTAGTGCAACATCCTCCTTTTCTTTCGAAAAGTTTTCGATTAAANTGCTTTTTTTTATATAAAGAAAGGTGTATGAAAAAAAAACAGGGATTACAAATATTGTACCCCAGATTGGGGTGTTACATTTTAACCTAAAACATCTAAACAAGTGTTGAATATTGAACCGAGCGATTCAGGCTTGGCTCAGATAGGACTGAACTCAAGCTCGACTTTTAAACGAACAGAGTTTGAATGATTTTTTAGACTCATTGAAAAAATGAGCTTAAAAGGCTCGGTTCGACCTCCTAAAATTCGGCTCATTTATATGTAAAATAGTTTAGTTATTCGTGCTCGCCTCGAGTTCGGTTTGTTTTTGGCTATGCTCGGGCTTGATTTATTTTTAAAATGAGTCGAACTTGAAATATTTTGTAAACTAATTTAAAAAAACGAGTTCATAAAATTCGATTTGATTATTATCCGCGATATTCTAAACTCTGTGTAGTACAACATCCTCATTTTCTTTCGAAAAGTTTTCGATTAAAGTGCAACAACTAAAGGATCAAAGCAAAATTTAAGGAGACAAGGTTTTTTTTTTTTTGTTTGAACTGGTGGAGATAAGTTGAATTTCTAACATATTGACACCAAACACACTGCTTGGTCTTAAGTTGGGTAGAATTTGATAAGATTTGTCAAAAGACAAGACAGAGTTCATGGCTAAAATTGGGTCATTCTAATTTGGTTAATGTTGTTTAAAATTTGATTGAATCCACATTAAAAATAATGCATTAAATAATAATATGTTTGGACTAATCTATATTTGATTCTTCCTAACAAATTACATGCCCTAGTTAAGATTCCTTTTGGTTTTCTTTGATTGCTAAATTACACTAATAATCCATGAGGTTATCACTTGTTAAACTTTGGTCCTTAAAATTTTAATGTTATCAATTTCACTCTCGAAATTCAGACATTGGACTAATGTAATTCCTTATCCTAATTGTCATCTAAATCAATAACGAAAAATCATTACGTGCCTAACATGTGACTACAATTAAAGATAACTTTGTCCCAACATTGTAATATATATATATACTCACAGGTTATANGGTCCTTAAAATTTTAATGTTATCAATTTCACTCTCGAAATTCAGACATTGGACTAATGTAATTCCTTATCCTAATTGTCATCTAAATCAATAACAAAAAATCATTACGTGCCTAACATGTGACTACAATTAAAGATAACTTTGTCCCAACATTGTAATATATATACTCACAGGTTATAANCTAACATGTGACTACAATTAAAGATAACTTTGTCCCAACATTGTAATATATATATATACTCACAGGTTATAAAAAAAAAGAGTCAACTTCATCTCTATATATATTTATATAGAGAGACAATCTCCGAGAAAACATATTTGTCACGAATTCCATCTATTTTCAATATAGAAACCACACGCAAGAATATACACACACAAACATACAACATGCATTTGCAACCGGTTAACCTTCAATCCACCACATATAACAAACCTCTATGGTGAATCTACACCACTCCCCATTAGAATCCATTAGTCTCCCGAGAATTTACAAGGAATCGATGCTACAATTAGGCCAGGTTGGGCCGGTGCCCCCCTCGGCTCATTTGCCTTAACCACCATACATTTTAGTATTCATCAACGATTCTCGNAATCTACACCACTCCCCATTAGAATCCATTAGTCTCCCGAGAATTTACAAGGAATCAATGCTACAATTAGGTCAGGTTGGGCCGGTGCCCCCCTCGGCTCATTTGCCTTAACCACCATACATTTTAGTATTCATCAACGATTCTGGNTAGTGCTGTTGACAATGTAGTGAAGTGCTTAGGAGAAGAGTTATTTCCCCGTATACGGAATGAGGTACTTCTTGTGACTGAATAATGTAATTACTCCCCCTGTTATCTGCATGTGGTTNTCATCAACGATTCTGGTGAAATATTCAAGAAGTGCCCTCACTAATTTTTTATTCTTTTCTTTGACCATTGTCTATCAAGGTATTGAGNTAGTGCTGTTGACAATGTAGTGAAGTGCTTAGGAGAAGAGTTATTTCCCCGTATACAGAATGAGGTACTTCTTGTGACTGAATAATGTAATTACTCCCCCTGTTATCTGCATGTGGATTTACATTTTCGTGAAGTCTGATGTTTACTCCTTTTATTTTGTGATAAATCATTAGAATATTTACGGATCAGGTTTTGCAAACTAATATAATTCTTTCCTTGCATTATGGTTGATTATGATGCTTATAAGCAGCGATATCCTGTCATGTCATCTTATGGGACACCAGTATTTTTCTCGCTAGAGCGTGCAGCGGCTCCTTACTTTGGTATAAAGGTGTGTTAATTCCTTAGTTTTGGTGTTATAAGTTGTTGAACATTTTAAAATCTTGAAAACAACTTTGTAATTTGGGCTTAAGAAAGAGAATGTGGATACCACTTATGAGTATGGGAGTACCTACCTAGTGATGCCTGGCTACCAATGCTGATTAACAATCATTAAACTATTTTTGAAGTTGAAAACCTGAAGATGTGAAGATATGTTATCCTGCATTGGCAGGACCAACACTAGAGTATGACTTTTTAATTCTGGACATTGAAACCTGAACTCATAATAAAATATAAGAATGGGACTCGATAATAGTTTTTTGTCACTATCTTATTGTAAAAAGGATGGCCTAGTATACAAGTCTCCCATCATTCCATAGTTTGGGGAGGGTTACATGTATGTAACCTTATCTCTATATGTGGAGTGGTTGTTTCTGTGACTTAGAACCCTGACGCCCAAGAATAGACCAACCTTACCACTGCATCAAGGCCAACCTTCTTATAACCACATTATTGGATTTGACTCAGTTTCATACTGCTAGTCCCTAGATTGTAAAAAGATGAGTATATATTGGAATTTTTTTAAAAAAATTTGAAATGACCCTTATATTATTCACTTTTGGCCTAGAAAATGCCTTTTCTTGATGTTGAAACCTGAATGCATAAACAAATGTGACAATGCGACTCGCCAATAGTTCTTTGTCACTACCTCATCGTAAAGAGGGCGCCTTACTACACGAGGCTATCACAATTATGGGTCTTGATAGGNTTTTTTTTTTTTTTGATAAGAGACGATTAATTTCATTCAATAAAACAAGCATGTCATCGAAATTGGTATCACTTGTTATGTTTAAGGATTATTTTTGATTATATATAATGTCAAAAATATATTTTTTAGTAAAATATATTACAATTTAGTATTATACTCCTTGATTATGAATATCAAAAGGGACAGTGCTGAGAAATTTGAAATTCTGCAAAAGGGGAGGGTAAATAAGTCTTTTAGATTGAAATTAAAAACGTCTCCGCTTTATTGATCCAACTGGAGTCTTCGTATCATTATAGAAATTCTGCAAAAGGGGAGGGTAAATAAGTCTTTTAGATTGAAATTATAAACGTCTCCGCTTTATTGATCCAACTGGAGTCTTCGTATCATTATAGAAATATCAAGGGGTTCCCCCTTTCTTTTTCAAACATACGGGGAGGTATGTGTAATTTAAATTCATAAATCATAAGAATGTTTCGCAAACGTGACCCGCGTGTAGGTGCCATTCGCCTTCTTTCGATTACTCTCCTCTGTTGATTACCCAGCTCGAGAAATGGCCATGGCCTGCAATCACAGTTATCATCTTCTCTCCCCAAAACTCCAAACCTCTCTCTGCAACTCTCCAATCTTCTCTTACAGTTCACTGAAATTCCCTCTAGGCTCTACATCTCACAGCCCCATACGAGTTAGTTCTCGAACTATTGCTCCACCAACTACTAGTAGCTTCACCTGGGAAGACATTTTTCAAATCGCTCAAGAACAACGCGACGACTCCTCCGATCTTCAAGGGTTTTTCGACAGAGTCGCGTACTGCAATCGCAATCCTGTACCTCTCTCTCCCCTCTATCTTTATTTTACTCTCTCTCTACACACACGCACCCCCAGATCGCTTGACAAAGGTTTTTCTACTATGTGTAATTTGTGTTAGATTGGTTTTATTATAATTGGGTGGAATTGCAGGAAAAGCACTCTGATTTTATTCCGTTCGTTATTGAGGACCAGATTATTGGCTATGTTCACAATGAGTAATGTCCCCATATTACATCTTTTTCTATTTTGCAATTATTGTCCTTGATCTTTACTGAATAGCTATTTAATGTGTAGCTAGTCGAACTGTTCATACCTTATTCAAAAAAAAAAAAAACTGTTCGTACCTGTAAATTATTGCTTCAATGCCTGTAATTGGGATAGAGAGAATAATAAATTATTGCTTCAATGATTGTAAGTGGGTAAGCAGGCTAATACCCTTTGGCCATGGCAATCATTTGAAATTTACGGTTAGACATCGCAAGATTCAATGTCATATATGAGATATGAATCATATGATTATAAGTATAATAAGGATAATATATTCTGAGAGAACTAACTGGTTGACTTATGTCTCACTTTTACCCAATGAATTCCAGTTTGAATTAGAGCTAGATTCCTGGATTACGACTTTGTTTGATCACCTTGATTTAACTTTGTTCAGTTTCACCAACCATCTGAGAAGGTTCGTGGATGTCTTTGTTTTCATCAACGATAATTCTTACGGCAGCCATTTTGGATACCATGTCACCCTACATCCAAGCCTGACAACACCAGATGATAGGTCTAGTGCTGTTGACAATGTAGTGAAGTGCTTAGGAGAAGAGTTATTTCCCCGTATACAGAATGAGGTACTTCTTGTGACTGAATAATGTAATTACTCCCCCTGTTATCTGCATGTGGATTTACATTTTCGTGAAGTCTGATGTTTACTCCTTTTATTTTGTGATAAATCATTAGAATATTTACGGATCAGGTTTTGCAAACTAATATAATTCTTTCCTTGCATTATGGTTGATTATGATGCTTATAAGCAGCGATATCCTGTCATGTCATCTTATGGGACACCAGTATTTTTCTCGCTAGAGCGTGCAGCGGCTCCTTACTTTGGTATAAAGGTGTGTTAATTCCTTAGTTTTGGTGTTATAAGTTGTTGAACATTTTAAAATCTTGAAAACACCTTTGTAATTTGGGCTTAAGAAAGAGAATGTGGATACCACTTATGAGTATGGGAGTACCTACCTAGTGATGCCTGGCTACCAATGCTGATTAACAATCATTAAACTATTTTTGAAGTTGAAAACCTGAAGATGTGAAGATATGTTATCCTGCATTGGCAGGACCAACACTAGAGTATGACTTTTTAATTCTGGACATTGAAACCTGAACTCATAATAAAATATAAGAATTGGACTCGATAATAGTTTTTTGTCACTATCTTATTGTAAAAAGGATGGCCTAGTATACAAGTCTCCCATCATTCCATAGTTTGGGGAGGGTTACATGTATGTAACCTTATCTCTATATGTGGAGTGGTTGTTTCTGTGACTTAGAACCCTGACGCCCAAGAATAGACCAACCTTACCACTGCATCAAGGCCAACCTTCTTATAACCACATTATTGGATTTGACTCAGTTTCATACTGCTAGTCCCTAGATTGTAAAAAGATGAGTATATATTGGAATTTTTTTAAAAAAATTTGAAATGACCCTTATATTATTCACTTTTGGCCTAGAAAATGCCTTTTCTTGATGTTGAAACCTGAATGCATAAACAAATGTGACAATGCGACTCGCCAATAGTTCTTTGTCACTACCTCATCGTAAAGAGGGCGCCTTACTACACGAGGCTATCACAATTATGGGTCTTGATAGGTTAAATATATGCGGTCTTACCCCCCCGCATGCGGAGAGACTACTTTTGTTACTCGAACCCTAGATGACCAGATCACAATATAGCATCCTTATCACTAAGTCAAGGTCNAGGTTAAATATATGCGGTCTTACCCCCCCGCATGCGGAGAGACTACTTTTGTTACTTGAACCCTAGATGACCAGATCACAATATAGCATTCTTATCACTAAGTCAAGGCCNCATACGGGGAGGTATGTGTAATTTAAATTCATAAATCATAAGAATGTTTCGCAAACGTGACCCGCGTGTAGGTGCCATTCGCCTTCTTTCGATTACTCTCCTCTGTTGATTACCCAGCTCGAGAAATGGCCATGGCCTGCAATCACAGTTATCATCTTCTCTCCCCAAAACTCCAAACCTCTCTCTGCAACTCTCCAATCTTCTCTTACAGTTCACTGAAATTCCCTCTAGGCTCTACATCTCACAGCCCCATACGAGTTAGTTCTCGAACTATTGCTCCACCAACTACTAGTAGCTTCACCTGGGAAGACATTTTTCAAATCGCTCAAGAACAACGCGACGACTCCTCCGATCTTCAAGGGTTTTTCGACAGAGTCGCGTACTGCAATCGCAATCCTGTACCTCTCTCTCCCCTCTATCTTTATTTTACTCTCTCTCTACACACACGCACCCCCAGATCGCTTGACAAAGGTTTTTCTACTATGTGTAATTTGTGTTAGATTGGTTTTATTATAATTGGGTGGAATTGCAGGAAAAGCACTCTGATTTTATTCCGTTCGTTATTGAGGACCAGATTATTGGCTATGTTCACAATGAGTAATGTCCCCATATTACATCTTTTTCTATTTTGCAATTATTGTCCTTGATCTTTACTGAATAGCTATTTAATGTGTAGCTAGTCGAACTGTTCATACCTTATTCTCAAAAAAAAAAAAAAACTGTTCGTACCTGTAAATTATTGCTTCAATGCCTGTAATTGGGATAGGGAGAATAATAAATTATTGCTTCAATGATTGTAAGTGGGTAAGCAGGCTAATACCCTTTGGCCATGGCAATCATTTGAAATTTACGGTTAGACATCGCAAGATTCAATGTCATATATGAGATATGAATCATATGATTATAAGTATAATATGGTTAATATATTCTGAGAGAACTAACTGGTTGACTTATGTCTCACTTTTACCCAATGAATTCCAGTTTGAATTAGAGCTAGATTCCTGGATTACGACTTTGTTTGATCACCTTGATTTAACTTTGTTCAGTTTCACCAACCATCTGAGAAGGTTCGTGGATGTCTTTGTTTTCATCAACGATAATTCTTACGGCAGCCATTTTGGATACCATGTCACCCTACATCCAAGCCTGACAACACCAGATGATAGGTCTAGTGCTGTTGACAATGTAGTGAAGTGCTTAGGAGAAGAGTTATTTCCCCGTATACAGAATGAGGTACTTCTTGTGACTGAATAATGTAATTACTCCCCCTGTTATCTGCATGTGGATTTACATTTTCGTGAAGTCTGATGTTTACTCCTTTTATTTTGTGATAAATCATTAGAATATTTACGGATCAGGTTTTGCAAACTAATATAATTCTTTCCTTGCATTATGGTTGATTATGATGCTTATAAGCAGCGATATCCTGTCATGTCATCTTATGGGACACCAGTATTTTTCTCGCTAGAGCGTGCAGCGGCTCCTTACTTTGGTATAAAGGTGTGTTAATTCCTTAGTTTTGGTGTTATAAGTTGTTGAACATTTTAAAATCTTGAAAACACCTTTGTAATTTGGGCTTAAGAAAGAGAATGTGGATACCACTTATGAGTATGGGAGTACCTACCTAGTGATGCCTGGCTACCAATGCTGATTAACAATCATTAAACTATTTTTGAAGTTGAAAACCTGAAGATGTGAAGATATGTTATCCTGCATTGGCAGGACCAACACTAGAGTATGACTTTTTAATTCTGGACATTGAAACCTGAACTCATAATAAAATATAAGAATTGGACTCGATAATAGTTTTTTGTCACTATCTTATTGTAAAAAGGATGGCCTAGTATACAAGTCTCCCATCATTCCATAGTTTGGGGAGGGTTACATGTATGTAACCTTATCTCTATATGTGGAGTGGTTGTTTCTGTGACTTAGAACCCTGACGCCCAAGAATAGACCAACCTTACCACTGCATCAAGGCCAACCTTCTTATAACCACATTATTGGATTTGACTCAGTTTCATACTGCTAGTCCCTAGATTGTAAAAAGATGAGTATATATTGGAATTTTTTTAAAAAAATTTGAAATGACCCTTATATTATTCACTTTTGGCCTAGAAAATGCCTTTTCTTGATGTTGAAACCTGAATGCATAAACAAATGTGACAATGCGACTCGCCAATAGTTCTTTGTCACTACCTCATCGTAAAGAGGGCGCCTTACTACACGAGGCTATCACAATTATGGGTCTTGATAGGTTAAATATATGCGGTCTTACCCCCCCGCATGCGGAGAGACTACTTTTGTTACTTGAACCCTAGATGACCAGATCACAATATAGCATTCTTATCACTAAGTCAAGGCCACCCTCTTATCACTACTTTATCGTATTTGACTTATACCTCTGGCCCCTAAGCATGAACGAAGAGGAGTCTATGTTGAATTTCTTCAAAATTTTGAAAGGTTCCTTTTGTCAATCTATTTTTTTGGACACATGATGTCACTGTCATTGATAGTATACAGTGATCACAGTTGAATCTTATTTATTTTTCAAATTTAGCCAGATGCATGTTGTGGTGACAAAGGCTATACAATTAACTAGAACAGCATACTTGATACTTATATTGCTGATCAATATTCCTTCTGCCTCTTCTTTCCTTTGGATTTTTTTTTTGGTAACAGGTTTATGGAGTTCACTTGAATGGCTATGTTGAAAGAGATGGGCAAAAATATCTGTGGATTGCTAAGAGAAGTGATTTGAGACCCACCTACCCAGGGATGCTTGATCATATAGCTGCCGGAGGATTGGTGCATTACTATCTTATGATTTGTGTTTATGTATTGGTTGTTTATCTCCTTAAACTGCGCATGAATCTAAAATTTCTGTGTTGCTTTTGCGGTTACTCATGATGCCCCAGTTCAGTTTGACTGTTTTGATTATACCTGTCAAAGGGTTCTCTGGCAATGGTGAATCCAAAATTTACTAATTGGATATTGACTTGTCCGCTTCATTCAATCTCAAGCAACAATAACTGCAAAGAGCATATGCTCTTTATATTTCTGAACCTTTTGTTGTTTGCACATATTTTCTGATTTCATTCCACATTAGACTTTTTGCTCTTGCTTCCATAATTTCAATTACAGCCTCATGGGGTTTCCTGTGGAGAGCATCTTGTGAAGGAATCTGAAGAGGAGGCAGGGATACCAAGTTCCATTGCCAATAAGTAAGTTTTCTTCGGCCATTGAGCCATATTAAACCTTACAGCACAGCTCGTGTAGCCTCTAAAATTGAACTTTAGGAAGATGAACTTCTTAATGGTAAATATGCGTCCCTTACTGACAGCAGATGCTGTCAGCACCTTATCCTTTGACTCTTATCCTATTTGCCTGGTGTGGATAATTATACTGATGCAAGTAGATGTCCTTTTTTCTCCTCGTAGAGCAATACCAGTGGGTGCTATCTCCTACACAGACATTAATGGATATATATACAAGAGGGATGTTGTATTTTGCTACGATTTAAAGCTTCCTGAAGGTTTTACTCCTAAGAATCAGGGTAAGCTCAGTAAAACTCCCTGAACATTTCCTCAAGGAAAATGGATAAACAAATTTAGCATCCTTTAACTGCTGATTTTGACCTCATGCTTTATGAGTTCGCTAATATTGTGGAANTTAATATATTCTGAGAGAACTAACTGGTTGACTTATGTCTCACTTTTACCCAATGAATTCCAGTTTGAATTAGAGCTAGATTCCTGGATTACGACTTTGTTTGATCACCTTGATTTAACTTTGTTCAGTTTCACCAACCATCTGAGAAGGTTCGTGGATGTCTTTGTTTTCATCAACGATAATTCTTACGGCAGCCATTTTGGATACCATGTCACCCTACATCCAAGCCTGACAACACCAGATGATAGGTCTANTAAACAAATTTAGCATCCTTTAACTGCTGATTTTGACCTCATGCTTTATGAGTTCGCTAATATTGTGGAAAATACATGTCCAAGAGGGCAACGAGTGTTTGTGTACATCCTATGTGCTATTCATCATTTGCAATNAAAATACATGTCCAAGAGGGCAACGAGTGTTTGTGTACATCCTATGTGCTATTCATGATCTGCACTGCTTTTATGGAGAACTCTATGCATATTTGTTGATTAATTGTTACATGTGGCAGATGGAGAAGCAGAGAGCTTCAAATNTGCAATGCTTTTATGGAGAACTCTATGCATATTTGTTGATTAATTGTTACATGTGGCAGATGGAGAAGCAGAGAGCTTCAAATTGATCCCTGCAACACTTGCTGCAAACATAGTTAGAAGGGGACAGATATTTAAAGCAAATTGCAATCTTTCCATGATTGATTTCCTGGTTCAACATGGGTACAAAATTTTCTTCTGTATTGCTTGGTTTATTTTTTCTCACCTTTGAGTAATCGGTTATCTACAACAGTATATGCTACTTGTTCTGTATTCTTGACGAATAGACTGTTGAATCCATGATCGTATTCTTAATTATACGCTTCTAACTAGCATGCATGTTCGTAGAACAAGGAACAATTGCTTTGGCTTTGTGAGTAGAGTCATCGTCACCTTAATCAGAAGTGTTTTTAATTTTTCTTAAAATGTCTGCAGGTACATCAAGCCAGAAGATTTTGGATACTTGAAGCTAGTGCAAAGTTTGAGGAGCGGAGATTGCTCCTGAATGTGTTTTTTTCTTCACATGGTTGGGAGAATTCAACACTGTATTCAAAACTCTGTTGTGAGTCTTGTCACAAGAGAATCTGGAGTGAATGAAATGTTTGGTATGGATGTTTCTATTCAGCTGCTCCAGAGTTGAAGAAAGGAACCACTGGCAATGAATGATGCTTAAAGGGTTGGATTGGATAGATTTCAGGCCGGTTGGAATCACAAACGCGAGCTGGGTCCCTTAATTTTTCAACCCATACTTCGAGTGCTTGTACGTTTTATCAGTTTCTATTTTACAGTGTCTGTAGAGGATATTTTGGAACTTCGCTTTTTCACAAATCTTATTGGAATAAGTACATTACTTCTGTCCAAAAATGTGTTCTCTGGGAGAGAGAGCCGTGGATAATCATGTCAGCCCCCATATGGGCCATATCTGTTCTGGCTTTTGTTTATTTGGACTCGAATGAACCAGATACTCAATTGGGGAAGCCTAAGGATGGTACAAAGTCAATAGAAGAGGAATTTAAGCACCAATGTTTCTACTGTCCAGCACAAAAGAGAGCTCCATGTGAATTGCCAAGACTGCCTTGTTCTTTTTTTATTTGGTCACTTAGTGGCAGACCAGAAACAGGAGTAAATATTTAATTTAGCAGTTATATCACGGCATCACTTTTACATAATGTCAAAGAGTGATAATAAATAAGTACAAGTGAACTCATAACGTAATATTACCGTTACAATGAATATTTTCTCCAAAAATACAGGATTTAGAGACACAACAATTAAGACTNAGTACAAGTGAACTCATAACGTAATATTACCGTTACAATGAATATTTTCTCCAAAATTACAGGATTTAGAGGCACAACAATTAAGATTNATAAATAAGTACAAGTGAACTCATAACGTAATATTACCGTTACAATGAATATTTTCTCCAAAAATACAGGATTTAGAGACACAACAATTAAGACTGTTAATAGACCATGCCTTGTCAAGTTCGTGCCATATCTAAATAATAAATTTCTTCAACTCATACTAGATTCATTTTATTTGTGTATATCAAATTCGTGTCTTATCGTATACAACCTATATATAAATTATGTTTAAAAAGTTTGTATCATATTTAGCAGGTTTCGTGTATCTGATGAGTCAAACATGTCCACCCGTTTACTACTCAACTCTGTTAGGATTCAATCCAAATCCCACTAATTTCATATCAATTTTGTGGATCATATCTAAAATTACCAAGCCTGGCGACAATCAATGGGTGGGTGTCCACGAGGGAACACTCGGGATTCAAAGACACCAAGGAAGCATCACAGCGCCAGCAAAACATCAATGTATTACCCAGAACATCATGGAAACAGAGCCATATGGCATTTGATCATTCCAAAAGCATTTACTTATTTTTTCACAGATGTCCATGGCAATAATGTTTAAGATTCTGTCTTACTACTCAATCAAGGAAAGACTAGCACGATTCGAAATACAAACTGAAACTCAAACGCTCAATTCCTTCACTTCTGGGTCTAGTGGTTGGAAAAGGGCTTCCACTTCTTTAGGGTCAACTTCGTCTAGGCTTGACGGGCTCCACTTCGGGTTCTGCCAAGAGCAAGCATGAAAAATAGTTTAAAATACGTGACAAGTTCAAAGCTAAGCAAGCACGAAAGAGCATTGATTCTCTAACTTAAAAAACTTTCAATCCAAATTGCAACCCATCCAGTTAATAAAGTACGCATACTAAATTACAGCATTCTCTTCAAGAAACATGCTTGACAATGCACGCTGAAAAATTGTATGATGCATATGAATTGAATATCGTNAAAAACTTTCAATCCAAATTGCAACCCATCCAGTTAATAAAGTACGCATACTAAATCACAGCATTCTCTTCAAGAAACATGCTTGACAATGCACGCTGAAAAATTGTTTGATGCATATGAATTGAATATCGTAGAGTTGAAAACTGAGAGAGAGAGCACTACACTGACGTTATTGATAGATTTGTGTCATCATCCTAGGTATAATTAAAAGTAAATGCAATGGAGGGCATTGACTAAGGTACAATTTATCTTTGGCAGTAGAAGGATAAACAGAAGGCATTGACACTTCGATTCTGGCAGTAGAGGGGTAGGTGGAAGGCACGGTTGCATTTCGAAAGGTCATTCGAGGAAGAAAAGCATGACAACCTATGCTTTTAACAANTGGCAGTAGAAGGATAAACAGAAGGCATTGACACTTCGATTCTGGCAGTAGAGGGGAAGGTGGAAGGCACAATTGTATTTAAAAAGGTCAGTTGAGGAAGAAAAGCACGTCAGCCTATTACCATGTGGTTCTCGCAGTAGAGGTAGGTGGAAGGCACGGTTGCATTTCGAAAGGTCATTCGAGGAAGAAAAGCATGACAGCCTATGCTTTTAACGAAGGACATGATCTTAAATAGAGCTGCATGTCATGTAAGGAAATTGTAGATACAAGGGGTGGTTGTGCTAAGTATGTACATCAAGATCAACATGCAGGGCACTCCTTTTACAGCCCATGCGATTCTAATAAATCATAGTCTCATAGCAATTTGAAACCACGAAGATCAACCTCAGAATCTCCCAGATTGTGTAATATATAATAAGCTTCTGCTAGCTGAATTTTAACCTCTAGCTTAGTCAATGAAAGCATTGTCCAACTTTAGCTGCTCTTATGTAAGATTCGATTTCCTTTATTAATTCCTGAGTTTCGTATGTTATTTTATTTAAAAAGGAACCAAGCAATTGGGTTTCTATAAACCAAGAATAAGCTTAAACAGAGGTGGTGCAACACTAAGAGTGGCAGACCATCCTCAAACACCTAATCAGTTTGTCTGTGATGAAAAGGTAAAATCATAAGGGAAGCCCAATCATCTATGCGAGCAAATAAATCGATCCCAGTACCTCCATAACAACCAACAAGAAAGATTCAAATGGGTAATTTTATCTCGCACACCGTGATTAAGTTGAATCATTGACAGCAAAACTTACCTTCAAATCTCAAAACTTATCTTCAAATCAGTTATAAGAATCAAACTCTAACTGCGCCATTCACATCAACTAATTGCAACTTCCAAATTCTTATCATACAGAATGGAATGGGCTCTGAAGAATGAGGAGCAAACCTGATCCTTGTCGACCAAGACAGCTCGAACACCTTCAACAAAATCATTTCGAAGAGAAGACCTTATCGCAATGCGGTATTCAGTTTTCATCACACCATTTAACTGGATAAGAATAATTTCAGAGAAGAACAAACGTTAACTCAAGAATTTTGTGTCATTGAAAGGGAACCACCACTTATTGCCGGAAAATAAAAAGAAAGAAAAAGAAAGCAACTCCAAACTCACTGTGGATAAAGCATTATCATGTCTTCCATTTGCAGAAGCAACTCGAGAAAAATGTTTTTGTGTGAGGCAAAGAGAAAAAGGAGCACCTTTTTTAAGCCCCACAAGGGCGTCCTTAGCCCACTCTGCCACTGCTCATATAAACATATGCAATAGTATCAACAATTAGATAATTGAAGCAGAACATTTCTCAACATCTTTCCCTTGACATCAATAATCAGACAAAGCAATACAATTTTAATGCTATACATTGTTCATTCTTGTAAACATAAACAACTGGTGTTAAGTATCTCTTACCTAAAGTATCAGCACTCAACTGGTGCTTTTCCAGCTCTTCTATTATCTCTTTAACAGACTTATTTGTACTGAAGGTTGAAATTATCCTAGGTAACAATAATTTCAGCCGGGGCTCCGACTCAGGGTTACTGCTGTATGTCACCAACAGTGCTTTGATGTCCTGATGTGGATCCTCGGAACTGTATCAGCAGATGTTTAACTGTCAGAAATAGATTATGGAGTCTGGACATAGGAAGCAATCTGTATCCATAGTAATCACTTCACTCCCACGTGGTCAGAAGTATAAGATCAAGCAGCGAATATCCATTGCACAAAGCAACCTCTACAAAATAAAAAAATAAAAAAATACTATGTTGGCTACAAAAGTGGCATGACTATATAGTCCACACCACCGTAAAGGCAACAAGCGAAAAAACAAAAAAAAAGACAAACAAAAGGGGATCATTAAACACAAGGACACCATTATACCAATCTAGATGCATCAATGGAAAAAGAAAATAACAACAAAAAGGAGGAAAGAAAGGAAAAAAACCCAGATGCATACGATATCAACAAATATGTGCACCGCTGGACATAAAATTGTGGCTTGCCATAGTTTTTCATAACATATAAAAAGAAAAGTGGAAACGTAAGGCAGTACATATCACTATTATTCAGAGAAGTTAGACCGCCAACTAGCCAAACAAAGCAAAACTTCACAAAATCCATGCACAAGAGACTTACAAGGTGGTTGCCAATAGAGTCTCCTTCAGTGAACCCAAATTCCCAGATGGCACAAAATGTGTTCCAAGACCTACGTAGAGTGCATCAGCAGGTGTCGATATCCTATTTCCAGTCATTCCAAGATAAGTACCTGCAACAAATTACATTAGTCAAACAAAGGATACCGACAAAAAATGTTACTAATTATAGCAAAGAAAAATCATAACTCACAACAAAAACTTACACCCGCTAAGAAAATATAAAAATCTTAATGAATTCATGTGAATATGAAACTGTTTCCATTCCATTTTTCAAATTACAGAAGATAACTAAGAGTCTAAACTGTATAGGGCCAACAGAAGGTGCAGGCCATGATTGTCGTTAACTGCTGCATGCAATCCAGCACAGAGTGTATGTGTTCATCAGGTTTGTGGTTCAAATGGTCAAATAGGAAGAGAGGCTGAGCTTGTAGGAGTTTCACATAGCCAAAGGTGTTAAAGTACTTGGTGGCTGTGGAACTGAAAGTGGTTACTCGGAGATACTGCATCACCAATAAGAGGTGGAACTTGCAGAGGCAGCAGAATTGACTACACATAAGGCTCAGGGCAAAGACACATAAAAAAATTGTTGAGATCAACACGGTATGCACAAGTGACAAAATTATGCATGGAGCCATGTTCCTCATGGCTCCTTGTCTTAGGATTCTCCAAGTGGTCATCACTGACACACATCATATATCAGGCAATTGTGGCAAAACCCTCTACAAAGATTTAAGATTTTGCCAATAGAAAAGCACCCTTTTCTAAAGAGTAAATTTCATATATAGTGGCAAAATCCAATCCTTTGGTTACTTTAGCAGAGAGAAATTTTGCAGTATAGTTATTTACTATTTTATATCCATTGGTGTACTTTCTTTATTATTATTATTATTATTATTTTTTTTTTTTGGGGGGGGGGGGGTGGGGGGGGAGAGGACATGAGATTGGAACCCACAACCACCTCTAGCCAGGAGTGAGGCCAATCCTTCACCTCTGTGTATCCTCTTTCTTAGGCCCCTCTCTCTAATATGCTGCATGGGTTATCAATATAGTCATAGTTGTCATGGCAAAAAAGAAAGAATTTTCCCAACTAAACAACGAAATGCATACCAACAGATCCTTCTCCTGGACTATGTGCTGCTATATAAGCAAACCCAATATCTGGGAACAAGCCAATCCCGTTTTCCGGCATAGCAAGAACAGTCCTCTGTAAAAAGTCATTTAATAAACATTTAGAAATTCATATTCATTTTGATTTATGTTATAGAAGTGCAAAAAAATAAGTGTCCTTAAAAGGTGCTCATACTTCTGTTATGAGCCTATAGTGACCATGACCAGAGAGGCCAATTCCAAAGCCCATCGTAATGCCATCCATGAAGCATACATAAGGCTTTTTGTAATCAAAGATTTTGCATATAAGGGAATACTCTGCGGTGAAAACCTGTTGAAAAATTTGGCAAAAAAAAGGCTTCTTAAGTTGAGTGAACATGCTAAATGAAAGATGCATCAACTCAAGCAAACTAATGTACACATGAATATTTCTGCCAACATAGCTTCATTAATCTCATGCAACAAATATAGTATACAATGAGCACACTTTAAAGCTGAACCATTGGACCAGGAAGACACTTCAATCTGCTAAACACCTCTAATGTCTTTAGTAATAAACACTTTTAATGGATCATTGCCTAGTGGGGTAGATAAATATTTGGCTAATAGCTTCATCCATCTGCTACCAACTTTGTAGACATGCAGAAGAGGTAATCCACAGTCTTTATGATTTTTTTTATTTTTTTTCTAATTTTACCACTTTCTTGAAATTGTTTCAAAATGTGCACTCATATAAACAAAATACATAAGCGTACGCATAACATCCAAAACTAAAAACACAAATACATTTAGCCATGATTTAATGGCAGAATTTGGGAAACTTCTTTGACTGACAAATTCTCCATGTGAAAACTATTATTGCATCAAGAGCCAAGTGGCTGACAAGGGTAGTACATGGTTTGCAAAAAAAAGGTTGACTTTTAATTGTTATTATTGTTAACCTTTTGTAAGGAATATATTAGAAAAGCAAAAATTAGCTCAATTTAGTCAAGTGCATATGGTGCCATATCAGCTGATACATGGTTAAACGGCACAACAAGACCTCAATCATGTCTGATAAGTGGTTTTTGGTTGTGATCTGCTTCACATCACCACCTGCAGATAAATTGATAAACTAAGAATCGTATTATCAATTGCAGGAGCATTTGTCTATTCAATTCACACAAAATGATGTCATCAATTACATAAATATGCAGCCAAATTAAACAATCGACATAAGGCATGCTACACTGCTTATTAAATCATAAATAACAATAATATAATTGATCTATATAACACACACTTGGGGCACAAAATTGCACATTACTCAAAGGAAACCTTTTTCACAAGAGGGGTGGTTTTGTCCTTTTGAATCTCAGCAACAACACCCTTAATATCCATTCCTGCATTGGCCACGAATGGCATTGAACAAAAAGCCAGAAACTACCAATTGTCAGCCAAATATATTACTTTCATTTTTTTTTCTCTCATGTTACCTGCTGAAAAGGCACGAGCCGAACTGCTTTCAACCAAAACACATTTCACCTTTGGATCCTCTTCCCATTCGTCCAGAAAATTCTTGTACTTTATATCCATATCTGCATCATTTTTCAATCAAATATCAGCGCAATAGCACCCCCTACTGCATATCAAAAGCCCCAAAACAACAATCTCAAACCTAACACAAGTCCATTATCACAGTCCCAGCTCAAATACGATGAAACCCACTACCCCAATAACTAAACAAAACACACATTTACTAAGCTCATCTGACTGGACAATCAAGTACCTGGCGACTTAAACAACGTGAAAAATGACAATTACGTTCATTTTCCCCAACCAATAAAAAATTAACACAAAAACTATACATAACCTAGATTCATGGCGTTGAGCGCTTTGGGGCGATCGAGAGTGATGACAGCGACGCCGTTCGGATGAACATTTCCTTTGACGAACTCCTCACTTCCAGAGGCCATGATCGCAAATGTTCGCAAAGATTGAAACGTTTTAGAGGATTTGAAGAGAGAGAAATTGAAAGGAGTCTGTTTGATGAAGAGGGTCGCGGAGAAGAAAGTGGAGGATCGGTTAAATAGACGAGAAGCACGAATCAAACTTCGCATGTTCTTGAAGAGAGAGAGATGGGGGAACTGAGGGATGGAGTGAGAAGAATATCAGTGTGTGATATTCCCCAAGTTCATAGACAGGTTTGCCCTTAAAGTTTAGACAGAATTACCGTTATGACACAGTCAGATAACCTTATACCATCACGCTATTCGAAATTGAAAGATTTGTTTAGACATCTCTCAAAAAATAATTTTTGAAAATAATTTTTAAAAAAAATTTAAAAAAAAATAGTTTTGATAGTTTTTGAAATAAAAAATTTGTTTGATTAGATGATTTCAAAAATAATTTTACAATACAAAAAATAATAAAACATGTTTGAACAGTTTAAATTCTGAAAATAAGTTATACTTGTTTTTTGTTTGTTTGACTTAAATATTATTTTTTTTAAAATTTAGAGAACAAAAATGTTAAATAAATAAGTTTTAAAATTTTAAAAACAGAAAATTGTTTCCAAAATAATAACCGTGCCCGAAATTTCTTCACCAGCTTTGACCACGTCTCCAAACAAACCTAGTTACGTCCCCAGCTACGTGTCTTTTGCAGNTTCAAAAATAATTTTACAATACAAAAAATAATAAAACATGTTTGAACAGTTTAAATATATATTAATTTTAAAAAAAAAAAATATATATATATATATAGTTCTCTTTATTTCTAAAATTTTCAAAAAAAATTTTGAAAATAAGTTATACTTGTTTTTTGTTTGTTTAACTTAAATATTATTTTTTTTAAAATTTAGAGAACAAAAATATTAAATAAATAAGTTTTAAATGTTTTTAAAATTTTAAAAACAGAAAATTGTTTCCAAAATAATAACCATGCCCGAAATTTCTTCACCAGCTTTGACCACGTCTCCAAACAAACCTAGTTACGTCCCCAGCTACGTGTCTTTTGCAGCCTTCGGCTGGCCACCACCTGTGGAAGCTAATTTCCAATTTAAAAGGGCATCGGCTGTAATTCTGGGCCAGGCTTGAGTTTGTCTTAGGAGCTAAAAACCCTCGGTGAGTCGTGACCTATTATTATATTATGGGTTTTTTCTTGGGCTAAGGTTTAATCGTGGGTTTTTCTTGGGCTTGGATATATTCCTTAACCCTGGGTTTGTCTTGGGCATAGATTTTTATTCCTTAACGATGAGAGTAAATATTCAATATAACGATTACACTAAATTATTATCACTACATAGTGTCACTGACAATAATAAACAAAATAGAACAAGTGAAACCTACTAATACGTTGTAAGACCTTGTAATATGATGAAATAGTGAGAGTATTATCTTAAGAATTATTCTAAAATAATTAAAATGATTATAAAAACTTTGAATTATTGGTGAAAGAATGAACATGTTTGAGTTTCGCGTGTATTATTGACTTTAATGTCAAACTTAATTTTAGAGGTATTTAAGTTTGAAAAAAGTAGCTAAGTAAGTTTTTCAATATTTTGATAATAATTTTTTACCCCGATGTTCAATTAAGATAATTCTTACGACATTAGAAATTAGATTTCAAGAGTTACAAAAAATGTATTTTATAATTTATTTTTTTTTGGAAACACCCAGTAGCCATAAGTCAAATTGAGTGTTCGAATGTAAGTCATATCTCAAAATCCTGATCAAGGTTAAAGGGAGATACTAGGAGTAAGAGCCGTCCAAATGCAAAATTTTTGTTTGAGCATAAAATCTATTTTGCCACCAATCAGGGTTCTGTGCCTTAATCATTTTTTACTTATAAATACTCTAGGGGTGCGTTTTAGGATTTCTTGACATTATTTACAACTCTAAGAAGCTTGGGAGAGTCTTGAAAAAAAGAAGATGAGGAAGAATAGTAGATCGAGCTAGATGTTGAGGGGATTATGTAAGCAATCTCACAAAACATGATAAAAGTAATTTTTTTTGTGGAATTAATGTAATGTTTCTTTCCTTTTCCTATTCAGTGAGGCTAGNGCTTGGGAGAGTCTTGAAAAAAAGAAGATGAGGAAGAATAGTAGATCGAGCTAGATCTTGAGGGGATTATGTAAGCAATCTCACAAAACATGATAAAAGTAATTTTTTTTATGGAATTAATGTAATGTTTCTTTCCTTTTCCTATTCATTGAGGCTGGGACTTATGTATATATAATTTTTAATTTAACTCTCTGTATATACTCTTTTGAATTTCTTGCAAAAGCATGAGCACAATTCACTGAAAAAATAGATGACTTATATCCAATTGTAAGTTTTTGATTCAAAAACCCTAGATCTTAAATACTATCAAATTGATAATGTTTCTTCATGATCTCTTGCATGTTTTTATTGAAGTTTACTTTATTTTGAGAATTGTGGAACAATGTTTTGTGGTACATGTGAATTTTGCTGAAAAATATGAATTAGCTCTCTTGTATGGATGTGATTGATAAACTCGGGTTGCAATCAAACTTATATGCGCTTCTTAAAATTTTCTGGCCTTCAGGGTTTTGATTGAAATGGTGACAAATTTTTTTCAATGTGTTGTTTGTTGAGTGATCCATTCTATAATGAATTTTTCTTCTATATATCAAAATTTAAGATCGTTATTAAATATCACATGTTTTGCTTCAATAGATTATATGTTATTTTGTAAATTGAGATATATATTTTATCTATTTATAAACGTGTTTAGGTTTAAAAAAATTTTCCTACTGAACTAGTTATGCTCACCCTATCATTTAACATTGCTTAGATTTTTCTCTTAAGGAGGATACAAACCTAGGTGAACATGTGAAATTAGATTTTGAGGCAGATCAGAATGTGGATCCGACTTTGGAGGTTTAGAGTTGTTTACCAGCTTAGGTTTACAGTTTATATAAGGAAACAATGTTTTTGAATGTTTTCTAGTTAAGGAGAGATTTTTGTTTTTTATTTCAAGTTTCCAGATGTAATATTTAATAGTTTATTTATGTTTTTTTTGGGATTTTTAATTAGATGGTGTTGGTTATTGAAGTTTGATTTATTTAACATTATTTTAGTTATGCTCTCATGATTTTAAAAGTTCTTAGTTTGATCACGTTTACCTATAAATTTGGGGGCGTGACACACGTAGTTGTTATTGAATATTAAAGTTATCATTAATGTTATTGAGACATAATGAATTGTGACCATTATTAGATTGATAGTAGAATGTATTCAATGTTGGGACCCATTGATAATCTAATAATGACAAATTTTATTCCCAAATTATGTCTCAATAGCATTGCTCTAAAGTTATTGATGAGTATAGAATTTGGTGGGATTTATTAGTCCTACATATTTATTCATAATTGACTGGTGATATTGTATGATAATGATGACATGATATCACTGTTATATTAAATATTTTCTCTGGATTGTGTTCGAAATTTTCAACGCTTCCCAACAGGTGGGTCGGAATAAACAAGGGAGGTAGTTCTGCCTAAAATAGTAATGCTATACAACCCAAATAAAACCTAAAAAATTACAATTCAAATATAAATTATCCTTTAAATGAGTGAGTTTCATCAATTTTTTTTATGGAACCCACTCATCCAAAAAATAATATGCATTTGAGTTACATTTTCTTGAATTTTATTTGAATTATGCAGAATTTTTTATGCCCAACAACCCTTTCCACTTACTGTGCATAGATTTATTTTTAGACAAAAAAACAGAAGAGCAACATGCGTTTACTTGCCCTTGTTTTTCGCAGGGGATGGATCTAAGAATTTAGTCCAGGAGATTGCTCTCTTCAAGTCTTTCAAAGAGTTAGAGAAAGCAAGTTTGTATAGCTTGGAGGTATTCAAAACAACTAATATTCTAAAAAGAGATTTTTCAAGGTGATAATCGGGGCTAACAATTCGTAACACGAATTATTAATCCGACACAAAATCAACAAAAAGTTATTGAGAATTAGTTTAGCATTAACAAGTCGTATTATAGCAAACTAAAGTCTAGAGTAGACTGTTTACTAAATAGTGTATGATACCAACGGATCTTTGGTCTAATGGTACTCTTTACCTTGTCAAGACTTTGTCTTCTTGAGGTTAAGGGTTCAAGTCCCCCCTCCCCCACCCCCAAAAAAAAACTAGCGTGTGCCAATTATTTGTTTCTTAGACATTGTTCTTTGCATTTGATGCAAGTGTTCATATAATATTACATAATACGCATGATTTGCGAAGAATTGCACGTATTTTATATCATCATGTAGTTACGTAGGACAAGTGAACGTAACCATACAATCCATACTTAATAAAAAAGCACACTAACTTACAGGAAAAGATATAAAAAACACACTAAAATGAAGATAACATTATGACCTTACTTTTTTTTCATCTCCTGCAACCCAAAATACTAAAAGAAAATTAGAACCCTAAAACCCTACCAAGCACCTCAAGAAGCTGGATATGAGCAGTGAGCTGTGGAAAATGGCAGTTGGTATCAATAAAATCCACCGTCGCCTCGCCCTTGATCTTCCTCTCCATGTAAACAGCAACTGAATTCGGGACAACCATATCGTTGGTGGTCTGGATGATGGTGCAGGGGGTGACAACCTCTCCGAGAGTGGCACGTTCATCACTGAGAAATATAGTTTTGGCAAGGGAAAGTGCTACTTCAGGCCTCATTCTTTTTAAGCATTTCTCGAATTTTTCGACAGAGTTAGGATCATTTGGGTCCACTACAAGCGAAGCAAAGCATGAAGCCCAATGGTCGTAGTTGGATTCTATGTTTGAGAAGATCTGATCAATGTCTGACTTCTCAAACCCCCCTTCATAGTCTTCTGAATTCCTGTACCTGTTTCAGGTACCATGCATTTATATTACATAGTAAGCACTTTTTTTGAGCCTTAATGTTATTGGAACTAATTTGATGACCTAATTCAATATAACTTTGGATTAATTGTGGGCTCCATCAAATATTAGAACTTGATATTTATCCAATAATTTCAATGAAATCACGTCATTAGGTCAACAAATTATATCATATTTTTAGGTCCAAATAACATTTTTCTTTTTGGAGACATATACCAATCATCTTAATTGTATGCATAATCTATTACTATATATTACCACCAAAGTGGTCTAGTGATAAATCGTACCGTTTAAGATCGTCCTTAACTCTCATGTGATTATCAAGTAGAGCTCAATTCATAGGATCAACATGGTTTTTTGCTTAACTTTAGTGATGTTTTAGTTGCTGACTATCTTTTCAGATTAGTAATTATAACTTAAATCGAATATTTCACAATAAAAAGACTTTTATGGTCACGCCCAAATAGATCTACCACTGGTCGCCCCTCCCTCTTTCAAACAGCAAAAAAAAAAAAGAAGTCTATTACTATATATTGAGGCAGGGCACGTGTGGGCCTTAAAGTCTCAAGTTGATCAGTATAGTTTCTATTATAACTACCCATTCTTCCTGTAACCTGTCTTCCTCTAGATAGTTCTCTGGTACCGAAATTTATTTTCGGTTCCATGCCGAAAATGATTTATGACCATTAATCTTCTTTTGATTTAACTGTGATTGTTAATCATAAAATAAAAAAAATAATTTTTTTTTTACATATCTCATTCTTACTTGACAAAAAAGGAGTTACGATAGTCAGATCCTTCCTCCTCTTATCCCCAGTACTATTATTGTCAAGACTGTTGTAGCATAGTTGCTTAAGCCAATAAAAATGGCACTAAAATAGTATATTATTTTATTCATAGGGATGGATCTAATTTACTTGTAAGGAAAAGTGAAAAGCGAAAAGCGAAAAAGAATCGTTATACTTTTGGTGTAACTCGACCCACAAACAAGTCTAGATATGGATAATTCCTTAGTCACTTCGACAAACCCACTTTACTCAGACAGTAAAAGAATTATTTGTTTGCATGCATAGTAAAGCACAAGGATCATATCATGACTACTATTGTCTTGTCCATACGACTTTGCTCTTTATAACAGATGCAGCACATCGACTCACCAGATATTATGCCAATCGAGGCTGAAAATGCAGATCCACAAGTTTTGGGATTAATTAAAAGCAATTACTTTAATCTCCAAAAAGCATGGTCACATATATATATATACATAATATTTTTTAAAATAGAAAAAAGAAAATTCCAGACCCTCCATGACAATTTGTAAAGGTCATCAAGCTAAAGGATGGTTGTAGGTTTGCAGCCTAAGTAATTTTTCAGCCAAAAAAAAAAAAAGATTGAGAAAGTTGAAGGAAGACAGAGAAAAAATAATGAAGAGATAATTAATCTCTTCTTTCTCTCTCTTTTTTTTTAATGAAAACATAAATCAACAAAGTTAATAGAAACTTGAAATTTAATAATACTGAACATGGGAAGCCTGAACATTCATAAAAATACTTCAAACAAGACGAACAAAATAACATAATCCAGGGTTTTGTAATCATTGGAATGCCACGACGAGGTCATACTAAGGCATTCCCATCTATAAAAATCGTCGATAAGTGATAGACAGTCTTATAAAAGAAACTTTACGGTTTTACTTTATGTTTTACCTGGGTGAAGCTCCGATGAGTATGAGCCTCTTGAAGAGCTCAGGTCTTTTGATGGAAGCAATGCATCCGATCATACCGGACATGGAGTGTCCGACGAAGACCGATGGCTGGAAGTTCATCTCATCCACAAGAGCAATCAAATCATCAGCAAAAGCATCATACGAAGAATACTTAACATTATCAAACAGGTTTATGTCCTTTACGGCACCGGAGAAGGTCCAGTCGAAGACCAGAACACGGCAGAACTGAGCCAAGTGGGGTAAGATTTTGTCCCAAACAGACTGGTCTCCACCATACCCATGTGCCAGTACTATGGCTTCATTACCGGAGCCGATTATTCTGGCGTTCATTGCTGTGGACAAGCTCTTTCCGGCAATCACCATGGTTGGCTGTTGCAGGAGAAGAAGAGGTGGGAGTAGTAGGAAAGATGGTAATAACTTGAGGGAAATATGGGGTGTATAAGTTTATGTTTGTTGTTGTTTAAAGGTGGTTTTGCCTCACTTAAATAGTCATCACAAAGGGAGGCCAGGGATTAGTACAGCAGTCAGACTAACAAATGAACAAAATATTTTCTTTTTTTGTAAGAGAAAATTGTCTCAATTGGGCACCNCATATATATATATACATAATATTTTTTAAAATAGAAAAAAGAAAATTCCAGACCCTCCATGACAATTTGTAAAGGTCATCAAGCTAAAGGATGGTTGTAGGTTTGCAGCCTAAGTAATTTTTCAGCCAAAAAAAAAAAAAGATTGAGAAAGTTGAAGGAAGACAGAGAAAAAATAATGAAGAGATAATTAATCTCTTCTTTCTCTCTCTTTTTTTTTAATGAAAACATAAATCAACAAAGTTAATAGAAACTTGAAATTTAATAATACTGAACATGGGAAGCCTGAACATTCATAAAAATACTTCAAACAAGACGAACAAAATAACATAATCCAGGGTTTTGTAATCATTGGAATGCCACGACGAGGTCATACTAAGGCATTCCCATCTATAAAAATCGTCGATAAGTGATAGACAGTCTTATAAAAGAAACTTTACGGTTTTACTTTATGTTTTACCTGGGTGAAGCTCCGATGAGTATGAGCCTCTTGAAGAGCTCAGGTCTTTTGATGGAAGCAATGCATCCGATCATACCGGACATGGAGTGTCCGACGAAGACCGATGGCTGGAAGTTCATCTCATCCACAAGAGCAATCAAATCATCAGCAAAAGCATCATACGAAGAATACTTAACATTATCAAACAGGTTTATGTCCTTTACGGCACCGGAGAAGGTCCAGTCGAAGACCAGAACACGGCAGAACTGAGCCAAGTGGGGTAAGATTTTGTCCCAAACAGACTGGTCTCCACCATACCCATGTGCCAGTACTATGGCTTCATTACCGGAGCCGATTATTCTGGCGTTCATTGCTGTGGACAAGCTCTTTCCGGCAATCACCATGGTTGGCTGTTGCAGGAGAAGAAGAGGTGGGAGTAGTAGGAAAGATGGTAATAACTTGAGGGAAATATGGGGTGTATAAGTTTATGTTTGTTGTTGTTTAAAGGTGGTTTTGCCTCACTTAAATAGTCATCACAAAGGGAGGCCAGGGATTAGTACAGCAGTCAGACTAACAAATGAACAAAATATTTTCTTTTTTTGTAAGAGAAAATTGTCTCAATTGGGCATCATTTGGGCTAATTGTTGCAACATACGCTATAAAAACTTTCAAATTACGTACATCGATTAAACCTAACTTTAATGTTGTCATGGAAATTCAATCTCATGCTGGTAAGCCCTAAGCACATACTAACAAAGTAACAAACTATTTCTTTTAGGTATCAAAAAGTTATCCCAACACATAATTTAGAGTCATGAACACTGCAACATAAATCTCGGATGTATATAATAACTTACAAATCACGTGTATCGATTAAATTTGTGTTTTATGCAACAATGAAGACTCGATCTCAGAGACATGTAGACTCGCACTCATCTCTTTTTTAACCATCGAAAGAACGCATATGGTTTGTATGGTAAGAAAAAGACTAGACAAAAAAGACAGATTATGAGACAGGGGCGAAGCTACGTCTGTCCTGGGGAGGCACTTGCCCCCACCGAGTTTGAAAATCCTCCACATGTATGCATATGTTAAAAGGTCATATTAGTTGTAAAATGATACATTGCCCCCTAATGTTTTATAAAATTTGTACACAAGATCTTTTCAATAAGTAGTGGTCACTACCTCATACCCAACAAAACAAAGGTACTAAGGACTTGTTTGAATAGAAATTTAGGGAAGGTTTAAATTAACTTATTCAAACTCTTCTAAACTTAAACCTCTCTTACAAAGATGAGAATTAATATTGAATCTGGTTCATAGTCATGTTTGGTACGCAACACAAATACATGTAGAACCCATGAATATATCATAATTATTAACAATTATTTGTTCTGTAAATGATTATTTTACTCTTAATTAATTTAATTCATACCCATATTAAGGAGTACAATTGTCTTTTGTATCCTTATTCCCTTAACCCACCTTCCCAAATCCTCTTTCCACTTATGTTTGATGAAATTTATGATTATAGTTTTAATATTTGGATTAGTTACAGACCAAATTTGAGAACTCAGTACTAAAATTTTAATCTAAACATGAAATTTAGAGATCTTTTGAATTATTTTTTCAAACCCATCTTACCGAACCTCCTAATACCCCTTACCAAATAGCCCCAAAAACTCTTAGCGTACGGTGCTTTATAGATAGAAAGAGTCAATCGCGCAACAATGGAAGCATTTGATTAAAAGGAAAAAATAGCACAGCAACAAAAAAGGGCAAAATATTGAATACTTTTTGGTCTTATAATTTGTTGGACCAGCCAGATAATGCCACTTGGCACTAGCTATAGGGTAGTAAAACCGGTCATGCCAAGTTTATAATTAATGAAAAATTATCACAACCCTTGCTTGTTAAATTTATAAGTTGATTTTTAAAATAAAAAAAATGACTATGAGAATGTTTATATTTATAGACCACTTGGGAGAATTTAATTGAAAAAAATTAATTTTTAAGTAAATATGAGAATAAAAAAAGAAAGAAAGACTTTTCAAACTCTGTCGTTTTCAATTTGATTGCTATAATATAGAGAAAGAAGTTCGTGTTTTTCAAACAGCTAATCACAATCATTGGTCATATGTGTTTATGTGCTGAACAACCCATTCAAAGGCTAGAAAAATGTATTNGTCTTCTTATGTTTATAACCTACTTTTTCTCATTAGACTGCTGGGTCATACCCTTACCAATATTTTTTGAATTTATTTTTAATATCTTTTTACAAAATTTTGTAGGATAACTCTATAATATCAAAAATTATTATTTTTTAAGACCAATTTACATCTTTTAAAAATGANCATTCAAAGGCTAGAAAAATGTATTGAAGAAAATTTTCCATGGTAGGAAAATTGAGTTGGAGCAGATGTGTGTTGACAATGGATGCTCAACACCTTTCCTTCATGAATCAAATGTCTGTCTCAATGCCATGGCATCATCTCAGCCTTTGGGAGGTGTGGAAAAAGCTGCATACTGATTGCCTTTTTCTAGATTGCGATCCAATATTTTTCATTTTTAAATTGCGACCATAACATCGGTCTTTGAAATCGGGATCTTAATGTATATACATGTCTACTCACACAAACAAATCAAAAGTTACGATTCAGTCAAGTCAAATTACAAGCTAAGATCGCATTTGAATAGTCAAAAATAATCTTAATTTTTTTAAAATCAACTCCAACATTTTCAATGGAAGTAAATTGGAACTTTGAAGTTAAGGTAAAATAACGACAAAAAGTTGCTTTTTGCATGTGGAATTAATAGAGAAGGCAGACATCACAGTTGTGAATAATAGATATCTATCATATCACTTTCAATAATATATTTATTTATGAGTTTCTTTTTATCCTATACTTACTTGCTTGGTTATTTATACCATTATTGAAGAGTGATAAGGATTTGAGCCAAAAAAAAAAAAAACCAAGAGTGATAAGGTGTCAATGGTGAAGAATATTGAGTTGGTGATCTATAATTTTTTTTAGAGGATGTCCAGATTTACTCCGACTATTCTTTCGAATTCAGTGGTTGGCCACCGTTGCTTAACCTAATCTATAACATATGTATCCAAAGGAATAAATATGACTAGCCCTTGTGGGGGTGTTGGTGATCTATAATTAAAAAAAAGTATAGGGCATTGAAATCCTCATTTTTTTGCTTTTTTCTTTAATTAATTTTCCTCGTTTACCCACCTTAATTGGTTGTACAAATTAAGTTATATTTCTCTCCATTCTTCCTTCACTATAATTTCCAAACTCTTAATTTTACTAGGAAAAAAAGTCAACATATTGCATGGGACATATTGAAAATCTTGAACTTCTTGTTGAATATAGAGGGAGAAAACGAATTGATGTTTTGCTTAAAGCTGTATTGGTGGAAAAAAAAGGACACTGCGTGAAAGAGCATGCATACTTTGATTTCGTTTTAGACACGTTATGCGAAACATGTTGGTGACAATAAAAATTCACAAATTAGGGTTTGGAGGTCAACCTCATCAAATTCTAACTGACTTTTTGGCCAACAAACGATTACACATCTTATACACACACAAAGTTAGAGACCTGGATTCCTGCTCGACTGACATGGGAACCAAGGATCAACGATACAGTTAAACTGATTGAATGAATGATTAAATATTGAAATTCTATTTTAAATTTAAAAAAAAAATATTTTAGTATGTTTCATCATACAACTGTATGTGGACAAAATTCTCATCGTGTATTCCGTCAGTCGGCGAGAAGGAGTGAAAAGGGAAATATCAAGGTAATACATATAGCGACAAAAAGTTGTTTTTAGCATATGAGAGAGAGAGAGAGAGAGAGAGTTGCTTCACATACTGTACTTGTTTGATTGTTTATACCGTTGATGAAGGGTGATAAGGTATCAATGGTGAAGAATATCATTTTCTCATCCAACTCCTCCAAAATTTTGAATCGGAAGGAGTTAGACTTAAGGTCGTTAATCGAACTGATTTTTCGATACAGAATTGTGTGAATTTTTCATGTTCTGATAAAACTCATTTTAGTATTATGGTAGAAATAGCGTGCACAAACGATCACATCTATGCACATAGTGTATTTCGCAAGTAGGCGAGAAGAAAAATGCACAAGGAAATGCCAAGGTAATTTAGCGACAAAAAATTGCTTTTTGCATATGCAAACAATAGATGAGTTGCTGTTGATAGAGTGTACTCATTTGGTTACATTGTTTATGGCAATTATTGAAGAGTACTGAAAGTATCAAGGTGAAGAATATTACCTTCTCACCTACTCTTCAGCACCGATTTTTTTTTAAAAGTAATGTTAGACTGAAAAAAAGGTATTCGGACTAGTTTACGCACACTTCGACTAATCTCTTTCCCAATCCTTGATTATATCCTTTAAAGGTAAATTATAACTGACTGAAATTATTTATGATCCATCACAATATTTTTCTTTTAAATTACATAATTTAACTCTCAAAAATAATAGTTTTAGTACCCTAGTTCTTATCTCAAATCTAAACAGAATCTTGACCCTTTCTCTCAAGATCAGTTGAAGATTATCTAAGAAAAATGGCATATCACTAGCCGGACACATCCTTTTCATAGCTGTCTGTTTTTGTGTGTCTCTCTCAAACTCTATTATTACTATAAATATATCACCTATTTTCAACGTTTAATTACATATTAATTAATACGAAATGGAAACATGAGAGAGATGGAGGGGTTTATACAAGTTGTGAGCCAACTTGCAAAGGCAAATCAGAAGCAAAGGACAAAAGGTTGAGCCAAATGGTCGTATATAACTAATATAAAGATAAGGCAAAAGGTTGCTTTTGTCTTCTTATGTTTATAACCTACTTTTTCTCATTAGACTGCTGGGTCATACCCTTACCAATATTTTTTGAATTTATTTTTAATATCTTTTTACAAAATTTTGTAGGATAACTCTATAATATCAAAAATTATTATTTTTTAAGACCAATTTACATCTTTTAAAAATGAAATTATAATTGCTTAAAGTAATTCATGATTGATCATGAAATGTTTTGATCGATCGTGAATTACTTCAATCAATTATACCTTCTCCATTATGAGTTGTAACGACAAACAATATATGCGCCAAATTTATCAAGTTTTGTCCAATTTTGTTCATTAATTTTCCATTTGGCGTTTGACGAGTTTAATGTGTTGTTTCATTAAAACTGTGGGGATCTTTTGCATGTTCTATTCCTCATAGATGTGATATGGCATAGGTTTATTGTTGTTACTAAGATTTTTTTAGCTGATATTTCTCTGGTTTAATCTCTATTTTCAATTATATTTTGTCTGATTTAATCTCTGTTACCAAAGATAGAATATATCTCACATTTG